TTTATCTGAAAACTAGTTAGGCTGTTTGTCCTTGCTATTTCAACTGGAAGCCTGCACCATCCTCTGATGGTTCAAAGCCTTCTTCAAACTCCTAATGCTGGCAAACATGTTTGGGAAGGTCATTACAATGCTATTAATACAAATGGCACTTTACAGGCAATAATCATGCTAAAACATGGCACATAATGATGGGCACTGTTGCATGCTCTCCTACGTCCTTTATCACTATCTGTATCTTAAACAGTTGACAATGAAACTTAAAAGGGGGCAGGGAGATACTGACGGAGGGCGTGGGTGGGATAAAATTAGGGTTGTGAAGCATGTAAAGGCTGTAAATGAAGAAATAGCATTAAGATATTAAGAGAGTAGGTTAGGCAAACACATGTACGTCTTAAAAAGGTGTGTCCGTTTTTCTCCCAGAATGTAATTTTATAAATCTTTTTTTTTAAAGTATACATTTTCTTAAAATGTACATAGATGCATGTACATTTAAAAATACAAGGTATAGGAAAAAGTAGTATTGATCCAGCTAAGACCTGGTGCATAATGATGGGCACTGTTGCATGCTCTTCTATATCCTTTATCAATGTGCAATTTCTTTCCATTCCATATATACATACACACACACACCCCAGTTCTTTACAATTTAATACAAAAGATAAATTAGAATAAAAGTACAGGTAAAACATATTCTTTGCATTCATTAGGATTCATTTTGTGTTTTCAGACAGCTGCAGGGAGCATCTGTGACCTTGTGGTAGAAAGAGCAAGCCATATGGTTATCAGAGTACTCCTTTATGATCCGAATTTATTTGCTTAGTCACTCTATTTTTTTTATTTAGTTTCTCATCTAAATGCATTCCCACTGAAACCTCTCAGTCTCAAATCAAAGATTTGACTACACTTTCCTACAACTTTTAGCAAATGAAAGTGATATCCTGACAGTATTATCTACAGCCAGCCATTAAGCATACAGCCTTGCATATTAGTGATCCTTAGCACAATCATATTCCTTAAAATATATCCCACTAAAACTTGGCTTTGCTGCTGCAGGAAGGCACAAAACTGAGGTCTGCAAACCATGATAAATTAAGTCAAATAATAGAATGTTCTTGATTTATGGACCAATCTACTCAACATTCAGAAAAAAAAAAGAAATTCATTTGTGACTTAAGCCAAACTTGAACCAAAGGGTTTGGGATAGAGAGGCATTGTTGGCTTCTGTTGAGGGTTTTTTTGGCTTCTATTCTGAATAACTACATTTTTGTCTTTCTGTGCTGCCAGCATTAGAATCAATGCAAGAGTGAATTGCTTTATGTACAATAAAGAACATGTTTAATGCTATCGTTCAATATGTAGGTAATGCCATATTTATGACTTGTTGATCATGTCTACATCATTTTGGGGTCACAAAAAATTCCAATGTGTAAATGGGGTCTCACTGAGGAAAAGTTTGGGAAACTCTGCCCTAACCCAAGGAACATACTCTACATAGACAGGATGGAAAAAGGTTAGGAGATCTAGCCAATGAATAAACTATTTTTCTACAGTTATGTACCACAAAACTATTTTTTCCTGAGAGAAAGTGCATAATTTGCCATTCCATCTACAGATTAAGACAAGCCATACAGGAAGTCATAGACCCATTACTCAGGGCATGGCTTGCTATGGTCTGAATTTAGAAAGTTGATCTTTTGTGCCATAGCTGGCACTAGTATGAGAGAGGGAGCTTGCAATGAGAAATACTGCTGCTTGGTATACATGAACAACAGAACTGCTAGCACATGGCAAGCTACTGATATGAATATATGAGACAGGTGCCTGAGAGAAAGACGTAGGAGCAAATGAAAAGACCTAGACTGAGAACATGAACGAATATGCTAATAGGAAAAAAGTAAGGGGTGCAAGAGTAAAGGAGAAGAAAGGGAGCATACATATTTAAAGGGCCAGAGACTGGAATATGGGATCTAGAGGCTGTTTCTGGAATATTAACAGTAGTTTTGTACTTACTGGCTTCCAGCTGAGGATTTTAAAATGCCCCAGATAGTAATCCTCACATCACTATGCACAGTTGATAGGTAGTTGGAGGTGAGAGGAAGGGCAAGTGAAAGAAAGAAGAGAAGAGATTTGACTTGCCCAAAATGACATAAAGATGTCTCTGAAAATGTTGAAAATTAAATTTGAATCCTGCTTTCATACACATTATCAGTTGTAAATTTTGGACATGGAATGAAGTGATCTAAGAGGATGTCTCTTAGCAGGCACTGTTAACCATCTGCTTCTTGTCATTACTTAATTTGTAAACTAAGTAGTTTGAGGTAGCTCTTTTTGTTCTGGCACAATGGGGTCCTGGTAAAAGGTAAAGTGTTCTAAGCTCCAAGATAATACTAATAATGGTAGTAATAAAATTAACCTTGGGTGCTTTATAGTCTGCATCACTCTGTGCATTGACAGACATACAGGCCCTCGCTTTAACTCATGGCACTTTACATAAAGCACCATGAGTTAGACAGCCCTGCCCCCAACTCAACAGATGTTCACCTATTGGGTCAGGGGGGGAAATTGAGCCTGCCTGAAGGGGAGCAGCCAGCTAAGAAGTGGCCCCTCTCCCCAACCAAGTTGCCTGCCTGCCTCCTGCCTGCCCTCCCCACCCCCACCCCCCCGCCCATCACCTAAGCGGCAAGCGCAGCCAGTCAGGGGGTGCACTAGCACTCTCAGGGGGTCCACGTGCACCCCCTATGAATTGCCACTGAACAGCACCGCTGCCAATTGCTTCCCCTTGATGAAGCCACACTGATCATTTGAACTGCAAAAGGTATTCTGCAAAAACCATGAGGGAGAAAAAGCAGAGGTGTAACAAGGTAGCTGGGTGCCCAGGGCAGCAGGACATATGGGGCAGTGGCAATATCTAGCTGCCACAGTGCCACTGGCACAATCAGGCAGCTGCTGTGGCAACTGTTAGTCTTCCACTCCCTTCTCTCCCCACACAGAATCAGGGCCCAGGGCTTCTACTCTCATTGCTTCACCCTAGTTGTAGTATTAAACAAAAACACAGTTTGAGTGGTTCCTTCCTAAATGTAGGCTGCTGGGTTTTTTTCTGCCATTATCTGGCACCAATTTCCAAAGATGGAGTCCCCTTTACACCAGGAAATTCAACTAGAGATGTCCCTGCTGTTGCTTTCTTCAGTCCTGATTTACTTGTATACATTTACTGCCAGCCTGCCCTGCCTTCTACTCCTTCCAACTAAACTTCTTTATTTGAGGGATATTTATGTTGCAGCCACTGCTATGATTATTCTATAGACATATTTGAGCTAGCTTTAAGCTTACTAGATTAAGTAGTGCTGGCAATACAGTCACATCTGCATGGAGATGGAGCTTCATACAGGTTGGCAGCTGGAAAATTTGCCAGCAGTCATCTTGCAAAACCTTCTCAGACATGTTTTGCAGCCCACACTGAGCTCCATGCCACTGCTGTTAGACTGCTACCTGGAGCCAAACTAGCTAGCTTAGAGATGTTAACACAACTGTCACAGCCTTCAGTAAGTTGCCTTTTGATATAAAGATATCTTTATGAAACACGGAAAAAGACCTAAGCTTCCCGCACAAGGCATACTATAAATAATAATTAAAAATGTGAATGATTATTCTTTCAGTACAGATAACAGGTAAGGGAATGAAATTATTTGAATTTTTTTCTATTACTTTGTATACTTAATTTTCAAATTCACTGAATTAGGGACAGACTCTCTAATGTAAGTTAGGTGACAACTTATATATAGGCTCTACTACATATAGTCATATGCCTGGGATGAGTTTTGCAACTAGTTGCAACTAGTTGGCCAGATCATGACTATTGCCCAAAAAAGTAACTGAGAAACCGCAGAGCAGGGCTGGAAGAAAAAGAGTGTGTGAGAGAAAGACATGATAGGACAGTGAGGTAGAGTGAATTGGGGAGGGGTATCTGGGAACAGAGATTTAAATTTAAATTTAAATCTTCCCTATTGACAGCTGAATAGCTGGTTGAGGAAGAGAGCTTGAGGAAAGAGAAAGCATGGGATAATGAGAGCAGCATCGCTGAAAGAAACATGGCAGGATGTGGAAGGGAGGTATAGGGGTAGAGGGAACTGTCTGAACTGACAGCAAACACATCATTCCAGCATGCTTTATCAGTGCATTTCAATCACTTGATCATGCATCTCCAAATTTGGAAGCAGCAATACACTGGTTGCCTCCTGACAGCCGTTGGAAAATCTTTTGTGGGTTCTCAGTAAAGGGAAGGGCAGCAATTGGAGAGGAACTACCATGACCACCAAGGTGGTTTTCCTACAGGCTGGGGAAAACCACGAATGTGGTAGGCGATAGTACTCTGACCAAAGTAATGCATAGTTAAACTCCCACTTTCACTTCCAGTAGGAAGATCTTGGCTATACACCGACTTTATGGAAATGGGAGACTCTTCCCTAGGTTGCTCCTGCAGCCATATGGCTGAGGGCAAGTGAAACTTGGGGGCATCCGAACCCCATGCCTCCAGAGGGTTTGGGCCTGCATGTAGGATGCCCACCAAAGAATTTGGAAGCATCTGAAGCCCCAGGCCAGGGTGGAGGTTTCTTGCCAGTAGTGCGACCACATATTCGTGAATGACTCATAGATTTGGAACTGATTTGGCTGATTTGACTTGAAACATGAAAATTTTTCCTTAATATATTTTGTATATATACACACACACACACATACCCACACACATGCACACACACATATACCCACACACATGCACACACACACACACACACACACACACACATATATTTCTAGCGTAGCTAAGAAAATAATATCTTTTTGCTTTGTTGTGTAGGCACTGCTTCCTAGAGATGGGACCCAAGCTGCAGTCCTGCATCCAGACCCACAGAATCAGGATCAGCTCATTGCAGTACCCCATCCAGGAAGCATGCACCCACAGTTTTACTCCTTGGGTCCACCTTTCGCCCTTCACTGCATTAAGCGCCCTTCACTTCACATGGGATGCTCCTGACACACTGCACCAATGCTCAGAGGTGCTACCACCTCAGGAATGTACATGGACAGGAAATAAAAACCCAGACACACAGACAGCTCCAAGGTAGGTGAAGGTGCCTGTGGTAGATTCTCTTACTCCTTTTTTGACACTGGACAACACCTTACAAAATTTCTCTTGCCAATAAATCCTTGTGGACCTGAACTAGTGGTCCTGGTGCTACACAGACAGCTTTGCAGAGTGGCTGGCCAACCGCATGGAGGAGACCAGAGGCTGGGGTCATATTACACCAAAAAGTAGAGGAGAGGCTGAAGAGCATGACTGGGAGTCAAGAGAGGGAGCCAGGGAGCAGGGGAAGGAGGAGTGAAGAGAGGAGAGGCGAGAGGGGGACAAGTACAGCCGCATGTGTGGGGACAGGCAGGGGACAGCATGCGAGGGTGATGGTTGGGGGGCGGTGTGGGGGGGGGGGGGGAGGGGTGAGAGAGAGGGAGGGAGGAAGGGTCTGTGTGTGGGTGTGTTGGGGGTTGAAGGGATTGTGTGTGCGCGCGCACATCTCAAGAAGGGGCCATGTGTATTTGTATGCGTGTCAAGAGGGGCATCTGTGTGTGTGCACGCGACAAGAGGGAGCCGTGTGTATTTGTGTGCATGTTATAGTGGGGTGCGTCTCAAGAGGGGCTCTATATGTGTGGTGTTGGGGGTCAGATGTACATGTGTGACAAGAGGGGCCTCTGTGTGGGTCTCTGTCAAGAGGGGACGTGCCTCAAGAAGGATCTGCGCGCGGGTTTGGTAAGCGGGGGTGTGGGGCGGGGGCCGAGGCGCGCCGCGTGCCCGCGGTGGGGGGAGGGACATGCGCAGGCCTCGGCCCGCCCCCGCCCGCG